GGATAGAGGGCTAGTGAAAAACCTAGTGCCAGGGAAACTCCCAGGAATCCATAAGGATAACCCCAGCTAAGATCACTAGCAATAGTGGAGAGGTGCCTGGACTGACAATCTACTGTAATCTGATTGGTGACTGTCCTAATTGTCATCACAGAGCCTTTATCCCGTAACTGATGGAAGCAGATACAGAGATCCACAGGCAAACACTGGGCAAAGCTCTGGGAGTCCTCTAGAAGAAAGGGAGGAGGGTTTGTATGAGCCAGGGAGTTCATGATGGAGGAACCCACAGAGACAGCTGATCTGAGCTTGTGAGAGCACATGGACTCTGGACCAACAGTTAGGGAGCCTGCATGGGACTGACCTAGGCCCTCTGCTTGTGTGTGACAGTTGTGTAGTTTGGTCTGTTTGTAAGGCTCTTATCAGTGAGATCAAGACCTGTCCCTGGTACTTAGCTGTTTTGGAGGAACTCTTTTCCATTCTGGATTACCTTGTCAAGCCTTTATGTGGGGGAGAGGAGCTCAGTCTTACCTGAAGTTGGTGTATCATGCTATGTTTAAGCCTGTAGGAGGCCTGCCCCTTTCTAAATGGAGACAGAGGAGGAGTGGGTGGATGAGGAGGGGGTAGATGGGAGTGAGGGGGAAGGTAGAGGAGGAGAGGAGGGAGAGGAAACTGTGGTTGGTTGTAAAATAAAGGAAAAAATGTTAATCATTAATGAGAGAGAGAGAGAGAGAGAGAGAGAGAGAGAGAGAGAGAGAGAGAGAGAGAGGAGAGAGAGAGTTGCATTGGTGTTTTCAGCAAGTGGGGGAAATGACCCTTTCTCATCAAGAGAGTATATAAATTGTGGGGGCACACGCCCACATTTTCCCCCAGGGTACTCTTGAGCAAGGAGAAATGAGGACTACATAGATAGAAATATAGAGAAGAGAGACAGTTTGAAACGTAGGATAGCTTCGGGAGGATCTGGGTCAAAACCCACCAGCCCCTTCTGTCTCTATGAAAGGGTCTTTAAAGGAATACCAAGGGGTGGAGCAAAAGACCTTCTCCCAGCACAGCCAAATGCAGATGATCCCAGACACCTGGTAACCATGCACATGGTCAAGCCATCTCCTAATGCAGCCCTGCTGTATAAGGCAAGCTGAGATCTCACTAGGAAACCTTTGTGGGCTCCCACAATAAACAAAATAAAAAAACCCCAACCCACTTGAGCAAAAGATTTGTTTATTATTATTTATCAAAAGTTATTATTAATTATTAATAATAAATCATTCAAGAAGGAAAGAATGGGTCATGATGCCTGGGAGGCACCTTTGACTTCAGCATGGGGAGGTCCCAGACTGACTATTGGAGAGGGCATCCCTCCACTTATCTACCTTTCAAGAAGCAGGAAAATTCTAAGTCTGTGTTTGATTATCAATTTGGAAGGGAATTCACCACATACAGGGTTTTCTTAGCTCCATCTCAGATAGTTTTCTCAAGACTTTAATTGAGTCACAGAGTACTCAACATATTGTCAGGAATTTATTAATTATTTTTTAAGGCATTTTATACAAGAGTACTTTATTTTTATTGAAAACATATTTTTTTCACACAATATATTCCGACTATGGTTTCCCTTCCCTCAGCCCCCCCCAAAAATCTCTGCTACTTCCCCACCCACTCAAATCCACACTCTTTCATTAGAATACAAATAAACATATAAAAATATATAATAAAATAAAATAAAGTAAAAACAAAGCAGAATAGGACAGAACAAGCAAACACACACCAAAAAAGAGCTGAAGAAAAAGTGCAATAAACACATTCAGATATACACACACACACACACACACACACACACACACACACACCAAAACAAAACCAGAAACCACAATATGTAAGCAAAAAAAAAAAATCTGTAAGATTGAAAAAAAAAAAAAAGCCCAGACAAAGCATTGTGAGACAAAGAAATGTCATTGAGTTTCTTTTGTGTTGGCCATCTACTCCTGGGCCAGGGGCCACCTGCCCCTAAGTGTGGTTTGTATACCCAGTGCAATTCTGTTGGAGAAAAGTAATTTTTCCTTTGAGAGTAGTTTTCAGTTGGTTAGGGGTGGGGCCTCATATCCACTTCCCGTTGCGGTGCTGGGACCTCATCTGGCTTAGACCTGTGCAGGCCCTGCGCGTGCTTCTACAGTCTCTGTGAGATCAGTCCTGTTGTGTCTCGAAGGCCTTGCTTCCTTGGTGTCTTTCATCCCCCTCCCTCTGCCACCCCAAAGTTCTCTGAGCTGTGAGGGGAAGATTTGATGGAGACATCCAGTTTAGGGCTTAGTGTTCCAAGGAATCTGACTCTCTGCACTTTGTGTTGACGGGAATTTAAAACAGAACTTTTAGTTCTTTACTGCGACAGTAGAGCTCTTTGTTACCCATGTAATGGGACCAAGACAATCACCCGTGAGTGTGTGAGCATCTGTGAGGGGATATATGCATTTCAGGGTGGATATGTTGATTGGGAAGGGTGTTGAGGTAAGAATATGTGCTTGTGAAATAACTTTTGTGTAATTTGTGTGAGTGTATGATAGTGTCTACCCAGAGCATGCAATCACACCCACTTTGAGGAGGTAGAGGCTGTGCGTGGAACTGGAGCCTTTTGCTATCATCAGAGACCTGGGCCTGTATTGGGCCTATATTTTCAGAGTGAGTAGATGAGTGAGAGGAATCCCTGCCTCTTGCTTCTAGTTGCCCTACGATGACCTACCCTTCTTCCCTTTCCTCCTTCCTTCTTTCCTTCCTCCTTACTTGATGCCTTCCTTTATTTCCCCTGTCTAGCCATTCCTCCCCCTCTTTCCCTCTGTTCCCAACAGAACTTAAGATCAGATGGTCAAACCTAATGGGAAGGAAAAGATAGATATGTGGTTGTTTCATTGAGTTTTTATTGCTGTTTATTATTTGTATGCAATAATGGATTACATTGTAACATTTTTGCATATGCATATAACATTTATTGATTGTAGTCATTCTCTTTATTAGTGTGCTTAAGATTGGTAGGCTCTGTTCATGTCAGGCAACCTACTGCACAGGTGGTGCTGATGGCCTTTGCTGACAAATATGAACCAATAGACTTCATGTCTGCAGGAATAATAGGGCTGCCTTTGGAAGCTGCTGGCACTGGCATAGTTGCTTAGTTACAAGTAGCTGAGGGAGTCAGCTTCACCAGGGGTGTCTGGAGTTGTGGGACAGGGCACAGATTTTTCCTAGCTTCCTGTCTTGGAGCAGGGAGGTCCTGCCACGTGGTGGCTTTTCTCATCACTCTTCATTTGTCCTCAGTGCTAGGAACACTTGAACTATACTTAGAATTAAAAAAAAATTGTTATTTACTTAAATGAAAATCTATGTGTCCTGTGTTCTCATTTGCTAAATCTGACATTTCTGCCTTGAGGTATCAGCTGTCTAGCATGTCATGTGATGCCCTGTGAAAGTCGCATGGCTGTTCCCTTTGCTTTGGATGTTTAGACTTTAAGGAGTAATGAATCCTACTTGTTCTCTCTGTAGCTAAGTGAACCTCTTTCCTACCATGGAAGCTGTAAGGATGAGATGTTGTAGTTAGGCAGCAGCTTCAGTAACAGGATAAGCTGAGTCTGAGGCAAGAGTCCATTGCCAAAGGGTTATTGTTTGCAATATAAATTTATTCCTTTTGCAATTTAATGGGACTAAGTTAAGGCACAGATGGTCATGATACCTGTTCAGATAGTTTCTCTATAGTGGAAGATTTAAATGAAGTAATTGCATGGTCCTTTGCTCTGAGTTCATCTAACTAACTCTTCAGTGGACTATAGGGAGGTCAAGGGTTATAATGCATTGTAGTAAGAGGATGGTTCTATGTTTCTATTCTGCTTTATAGACCTTGAGTACACACCGAGAATGTTGTCATGTACCTATGAACAACTATGACCAGCACAGGAAGATATTTCCAATAGTGGCTCTCATATCCTGTTTAATTGGACTTAAGGCCTGCTCAATAAGAGAGAAATCATGCCTGGTACTGGAAACCTAGCCACTTTCCTGGGGCTGGTGAGGTCATGGACCTTGGAGGAGAACCAGCTACCACAACTTTTCTACATCAGTATAATTTTTAACTGCATACTAAATACTTACCCTTATACCCACAGACAAGAATAGCTTCATTGAAGAAACTTCTCTTTGCAACAGAGGGAGACCCTTACAGAAAACCACAGGTTGTCAAAATTCAGAGAAAAACTGATAGTGGGGTGCCCAGCCCCAGTGGATACGTCTGTAACACAACTCTTGCACCTAAGGCTCAGGTGCGAACATCATGGAAGTGGGGATGTACTTATTATAAGACTCAGACCAGGAAATCTGCTGAGATACTCTTTCCTGGGAATGACCCATGATAGTTCAATGATACGGTTGCATAGATAAGACTTGAACATGGAAATCATCAATAAACATCCTAACATTGAAGGAGGAAACCTCAGGAGCAGGGCCTCCCATCCCTAGACAAAGAACCACAGGCAACTACGGAATGCTCAGAGCAGGAGAATAAGTGTCCCTGGGGATGAGTCTCATAACTGATTATCCAGTACCAAGGGGTCAGCCCTGAAATCATATGTATCCAAGCAACAGTAAAAAACACACACATATATATATATATATATATATATATATATATATATATATATGGTGTGTGTGTGTGTGTATGTGTGTATAACCATAATGATTAAGGAAAAAGAGGCCATGAATTTGAGAAGGAAGGGGTGGGGATAACATGAGAGGAAGGGAAGGGAGGAAATGATGCAATTGTAATGTAATTTTTAAAAAAATACGAAAAGAAAATGTCATCTCTGGGCACCTGTCTTAGCTGCTTTTCCAATTGCTATGATAAAATACTCTGACAAATTAAAGAAGGAAGCGTTAATTGTGACCCCTCTTGGCTCAGACTTAAAAAAAAAATCATCCATCCCTCAGTTAAAAGGCACAAAGAATTACTACTTTTTCTTTCCTGGTTGTAGAAAGAAGTGGAAATTTTCATAGGAACGCCTTGAAATTTGCTTCAGTGTTCAGTTCTGCTGTCTAGAAGTCTGAAGCATTCCTACTGTGAGGTACATGAATTGGCATCCGCAGGCTGGTTCCTACATAGATGGCAATCTCCTAGCTGTTCCAACCCTGAGTCAATGCAGATGCAGAGATCTTGGCACCCTAGTCTTATGTGATAGTGTGAAATTGTCCCAAACATATAACCAGCTGTTTCAGATTATTCTGTGAATTGCAGTAATTTTGGTAATTAGGACAAAATACTCTAATTTTTTTTCTTGGCAAAACATTTTAATGGCTGATACCCTCTGACCTTGAAGGAAAGCTCTTTGTCCCATCAGCAGATAACTCAGAAGGTGATTAATTAAGCCCAATTAATACAGTCATTTCTACAATAGCGACTTGGACAGCTCATTAATGAAAATGTTGAAAAGACAGAGCAATTTTTCCTTCCTGTTTCCCCCTCAAAATTGAAAACAGAGTGTGGTAGAGGCTCTCTACTGCCCTGGTTTTCAGTGATATAAATGTGAGGATACAGTGCAATCCATTCTGGTCCTACGCTTGAGACTAGAATTCTCTGTGAGGTTCCTACATGCAGCCAGACCCGTTTGTGGAGTGAGGCTTTTGAATTTAATGTCATCGAAAAGCAAAGAGCCCTGTCAACATCTTGAATCTTTTATTCTCATCTCACTATTTAGCTTTGATGAACCCCTATTTCAAACAGCAGGATTTATCTTGTTAAAGTCCTGTGTTTTCTGTTCTCTCCTTCCAGTGACCTTCCAGGAGTCTTTGAACTTCCAAAAGAAGTTCATGTTTTGTCCATGTTTTTAAGAGCTACACACACACACACACACACAAATCTATATACACCATATTCAGAGGCATGCATGTGTTTTGTGAACTTTTGTGTATTTGTTTTTCTGTTGCTGGGGATAGACACAGGATCCTGTACATGCTAAGGGTGTCCTACTGAGGGGTTCTGTTCTGTGGACCTGATGATACTGAGCACACCATGACCTTCCTGTCTAGTACCAGTATTTAGACCAACTGTCCTTCAATTGTAGCTCTGTCTTGTCCTTGGTAAATGAGAGAAAAACATGTACAACTGTAGCTGTGATAAAAAGATGTAAATTGAATTATTTGTATGCCAGAGAAGGCTTCAGCGATGGAGTTTCTAAATTCAGATTTCTCAAGATAAATTAAAGCCAATGGATGTGGACCTGATAAGAGCATCTTGATTCGAATTCAGTCATCAAGTACCTAATTTCTAGACGTTTATTTGCACATTGCTAATGGAATGCTATTTGGAAAGGCAGAAGGTAGAACTGAATTTATTTCCTTTGAAGTAAAAACTCCTCCTTTGGGATTTCAGGTAGACCAATTTATTATCACAATAGCTGACCATCCCCACGTGTGAAGGGCAGAGCAATTTCAATAATTTTACTCCAGGGTCTTTGATTTATAGTTTCATTTTTTTCTGACTCAGGGAAGTCGTACCTTCATGTATTCATGCTGACATTTGGTAATAATTCCAGTGCCATCCTGCTGAGTATTTACAGCTCCTAGAATGTCCCAGGAGCCACAGGGGCCACCCTCTCACCAGACACATTTATACATCCAACTTTGAGTTGTAGCACACACTTACAAGAGGAAAAATGAGCCATCCCTAAGGAAGATGAGCACAGAATGGTCCACAAGGAAAGATTTTGCATATATTGAAATCCATTGCATTGTATTTGAGAGTGCCAGACAGAAGGTTATGTGATAGAGATTCTTTTTAAAAAGTCATTTCATGAAACGGTATTCATGAAGTGGTTTCTTCAGGTTGTTCAGCTAAGATCCTGGCCCAGAATTAATATAACAAGCAGTAGTAATTTTTACTGTTTTTGAGATATTTGGCAGATATTATAACACATTTTCATAAGACCTCTATAAAGTAGATATTATCCCAATTTCATTAAATGAGTAAATGAGGTTGGCATGCATTACATAGCATTCAAAAAGTTAAAATTAATTCATTTATTGGAAGATATTCATATTAAGGTCTGTCTCACCTCAAGACTATATGCTGTCCTCATCTCTGTGTCAGCCCTCTTTAGAAGTATCATCTCTCTTGGAATTAGGTAATGAAGTGAAAGTGAATGAGAGAATTCATCGAGTTCATAATACCTAAAAAGAGCACGGTGTGAAGCTATGAATGTCTCAAGGCCAGTCTGTAAGAGCTAAAACTGTATGACATTTTAGAGTTTAATCACCTTCTCCTCTGCACTTTGCCCTGATACTGTAACTTCAAGTTCTAGGTCAGTATTCTAATCTCATCCAGCCAGGTCATCCTGAGCAGCAGAGTGCATTGTTGACAAATGGGAAGACTAAGCCCACCGACAGGGTCTTGTTTTTGTTACCAAGAGACAAAGGGACCCCGTGTGTGTGTGTGTGTGTGTGTGTGTGTGTGTGTGTGTGTGTGTGTGTGTGTGAGAGAGAGAGAGAGAGAGAGAGAGAGAGAGAGAGAGGGAGAGAGAGAGAGAGAGAGATTCTCAGTTTCATAGATAAAGTAATTTTAAAATGGATTCAAGGGAACTAGAAAACAAGTTTATTGGATTTTGACAAAAAAAAAAAATAGCGCAGGGCAACTGTAAATCTAGGTAGCTACCAAGAAGAGGAGGATGCTTCTTTCTCCTTTCTTTTCATTTCTTTCTCCTTTCACATAGTATTTCAAATTTTAAGGAGGACAATTTCAGAATGTACCCTTTCTTAAAATTTGTGTGTTATCAAGGAAACAGGATGTAGGGGCCAAAGCTGATTAGGAAGGGGAAAGGCCCACCCTCAATGAGTTCTGAGCTGGATCATTATCTGACTAGCTACCTAACATTTTTACTGGGTGTTTGAATGTCTTTGGGGATCATAACAAGTTATCAGTCCACCTCCTGAATCTTTGATGTCTGTGACACACTGCAAAATTGGTATCTTATAGGGCCTCCTATTAAGGTGATTGATTAGACCAGATTGCTAATCAAAAGGACATATCACACTTGCTCTGGGGAGATTTCTCTAGAGATACTTTCATGCTTATCTAGTGTGTTTTAAAAACGTTCTTAATTGAAATAGAATTATAACACTTTTCCCCCAACTCCCTCCAGCCCCTCTATGCTACTCTCCCTTGAATACCTCCCATGTTCTCCTTCAAGTTTCTAGCATCTTTATTATTATTATTATTACACACACACACATGCACAAATATATATAAAATACAACCTGCTGAGTCCATTTTTATTGTTTGTATATATATGGTTTAGAGGCTGACTGCTTTGCACTGGACAACCAATAAGGGGACTCATTCCTGGGAGAAGTTAATTCTTCTCTCATCAGTTCTTAATTGCCTGTAGTTCTTTTGTCTAGGAAGTCTTGTATGAAACAGTCTCTCCAGTGTATTTTTACATTACTGAAACCTTAAGTTTCCTGTTGTAAACTTAGTAGAGCTAAAACATAAACTGAGATACAAAAGCATGCAGTATATTCCAAAAGAAAGTGAAAGGAACTAGGAGAACCACCTATGAGAATTCAGGTCAATAAGGAATGACTCAAAGCTTTGTTCCTTATCTTCATTATTTAGATGTCTCCCCTCGAGTGTGTTTTCATCCTTCACTTTAATAGTTCCCAGTATCCTCTACCTTACTATTTGAGTCTAGAGGACAGATCTAGGTCCAGCATTTCTAGGTTCTTATGCTTTATCCTATGAAGTTACACATAGTTAGTTACAGGAAAAAAGGTAGTTATTAAGGAGAAATACAGACAGACATTATCTGTGGTTATTAATCACACAGATGGGAAGAGAAAGACCACTGACTCAAAACATGGCCAAATTAATTAAACTAAGCAATTAATAAAAGCAAGCTTTAAAAAATTTGTTTACACGGGCTGTCTCCCCTTAAAAGCAGGGTTCAAGAGATCAACATTGGACATGGTTAAGATAAGGGCTTTCATAGTCCAGGAGTAGGAGGTTTCCAAAGGGGATTTGTCAAGCAAATAGTGGGGGTTATAGAGGCAGAACATAAGCATAACAAGTTGGTCATAATAACCTTGTGAAACAAAGACATGGTTGCAAGGTGATCATAACAAGGTAGTCATAACAGCAGGTGGTCAAAACAGCAGGTGGTCATAATAACCTTTTGAAACAAAGGCATGGATGCTGTTTTCTGGAACAGGCAACACAGACCATTTGTAGTTAAGGTTACAGGTGAGGTATAGCCTAATCTTTGAGAAACAAAGGTTTAATCAGGAATGAGCCTGTAGTTTGCCTTTACTGTAAGATGGCTTTCAAGCTTAAGATGGAGGCAGGCTGTTTTTACCATTTCCCACTTGTCTTATGTCCCTGTCAAATCCTTGATAGGGATTATCACTCTTTCTCCAGGGGTAAACAAAATTTGTAATGCATTATAAGATGCATGGCCTGATTATATATCTGTTTGGTTAGCAACAGATTTTTTAAGGCCATATAATCTTGGTATGCCAATAGGATTGTAAATAGTCATTTTGTCCCCTTTGCCAGGGAGTTTCCTTTTGATTTAACATTCTGGCCTTCTGTTGATGATAAGGGACAATGCATTCTCTTCTGTAACTGCTTATCAGTTGAAATTAGGATGTGGTGGTCAGGGCTCAGAAATCATGGAATGTTAGTTAAAGGCCAGGAGGGGATTAGGGCAATGGGCTATTCATCAGAAGCATCTGATTTGCTGACTCAGCTGAAGAGACAGAGTGCAATCACATTGACTTGACTGGTTTACAGTTTACAGTTGGTCAGTTTTCTGCAAATTCAGGACTTTCCAGCTTTATAGGACTACCTGGAACTGGCGTGGTGTAGATTGCCTTTGGGGCAATTTGTAGTCTGCAGCCAATTTCCTCATGGTATCTACTAGCCAATAGAACTCTGTCAAGACAGATATAGACTAAGTACAGAAGTTAGGGTTAAGGACTTAAAGGATATTTAATGGAGCTTCCCCTCATGAACAGGATAGAGGCAGGGAAGCTTAGGCTGTTGACAGGAGTCCTAAGCTGGAGTCCATTTGACCTG